TCTTCCGTCTTGGTTTTTCCGTCGTTTTCTTGTGCGTTTTGTCCTTCCCTGCGTGTGTGACCCTGTAGGTTCATTCGATATAGCAGTATAACCCGAAATCTCTATTTCGGATATACAAGTCATAGGCGGTCTCTAGCAAGACACTATGACTACCTATCTCGAATAGAGTTTGTTCGTAATCTTTACGAACGCCAGAGATGATTCCGGTTGATGATCCTTTTGTATCGTGATATCATATGTCGAACATAAGGCATGGACAAGCCACCTTATCTGATTCGACTGCTTTCTCGTTCACTGAGTTCGACTGTCTGAAATAGACGACGTTCGTCTATAGTGCGGCCACACATTTCTACAGTCTCGCTCACACGAGGGGCCCAGCGATATCTCTCTCTTTTACGAGAGGTACAAATCCCGTCTTGACTATCTACAATCCAGTACATGATTCGTTTCGTACCTGATACACGCCTTTATAGTTCTCCTGTTACGCAGAACGTTTGACGTATTCAAAGCACGCAACTCCTCATGTTGGATTCCGTAGATATCTCAGGTCTTAGGATCCAATCATGGAACCGCCATATGAGATTCAAGTCATGACGCTAGTCCATGTGACAATCTCATGCGGGTCAATCCAGTATTCCGTTCTCCAACGAATACCTATGACTGTGATCGTATCCAATACTTATGATCATCTCTATGATCATCAATCACACATCATACTAGTCTTATTATGTCGTTATTCCCATAACGACACAAGACTAGGGAGTTTAGTATCATTCATAATGATACATGGATTTCATAACAGATCTAGTATGCAAGAACATGTAATGAATCAAATACTCTCATAAAACCATAGAAAGTATCAATACATCGAATGTATCTAAATAAAGCTCATGAACAGTACGTCATAGAGCACTAAACCAACACCTACATCTTTTCCTGACCCCATTGCGGCTGAAAAATCGACAAAGATCTCGGGTGATGAAGAACGCGACGTATACATTCCACCGCCACCACGTTTGCCTCCGGTTCCTTTCCCTCAACGACTCAAGAAAACTAAAGAAGACATCCAATTTGCTCGATTTGCTGACATGGTGCGTAAGTTGGAAATCACTATGTTGTTTCATGAGGTTATCACTCAGATGTCATCCTATCCCAAATTCCTGAAGGACATTCTCACAAAGAAGCGCGTCATCGAGAAGGAAACCATCACGCTTAATCCCGAGTGCAGCGCCATTCTTCAGCACGATCTGCCACCGAAAATGTCGGATCCAGGTAGCTTCTCGATTCCCTGCAAATTGGGAAATGTTTCTATAGATCGTGCTCTTTGTGATTTAGGTGCCAGTGTAAGTCTCCTACCACTCTCCATCTACAAGACTCTCAATGTGGGAGAACTCAAACTGACTCGCATGACTCTTCAACTAGCTGATCGTTCGGTCAAATATCCTCTGGGTATTCTCGAAGACGTCCCGTTGAAAGTAGGCGATTACTACGTACATGTCGATTTCGTTGTGCTTGACATGGACGAAGACTCCAAAATCCCGATTATTCTAGGGCGGCCGTTCTTAAACACTGTGAACCTATATGAACCTAAATCTATATGTCAAATGCAATCGTGCAATCCTAGTAAAAAAAAAACTATATGAAAAATAATAAAAAAAAACGTGTAAATGCAACTAATGCAAAGTGAGATGCAAAAAGTGAAATTTTTTTCCTAAGTCTATATGTCATGATAAAATGCACCTAAACGAAATTTAATCCTAAGTAGATAGGTCGGAATGTGTGAAGGATCTATCCACCCCCCAGACTTGAACCATACACCGTCCACGGTGTAGACTCTCGACCGGAAGAGTAGAAAAAAAATATGAAAGGAACTAGTAAGAGGGTAGAGAAGGCTTAGCTCTACGAAATTCGTTCGCTCGCAATGAAGTTAACTCACGTCAAATGCAAGAGCTCTCAAATACTCTGTGAACTGGAATCTATCCAAACGTCCTCTCTCGGAAACTGCTACTCATCTCTCATATGTCAGTATGAATGTTCAGAGAACAACAAACATTATCTGAAAAACAACATAGAGGCTTGCATATAGATAAATAAGTCCAGAGTATGCAAAATCCGAGTCCCCAAAATACATCCGAAAGGCCTACTACATCTCTACTAAAATAGAAAAGGGAAGACCTACCTTAACTATGGTCTAGTCATCAGCTGGTGCATCATCTCTGATGCCATTGTCCACGTTCGTGCCGGCCAACTGACACTCAAGATCGGCGACGAAACGGTGGAATTCACGCTCGACCAGAATTTCAAGCAACCATCTACAGTGGACTCTATATGTTACATCGACTTGATGGATGCTTTAGCCGATAAGGTACTCTTTGAATTTCGTGATTTCGATGCCCTCTCTATTTGCTCTTCTTTCTGAACAGGGCTGTAGTACCTTTATTGATGAGGACATCCAGATCATAGACGACATAACGGATGGGAGCTTGGACGAGGGAGCATACTCGGAGCTAGGAGCTGAACCGGAAAAGGAGGATCCGCCTAACCAAGCAATGAGCAAGGAACCGAACATGGCAGCTTCAAAACCGTACACGATTCCAATCCCGATTCGCATGGATCCTCCCCTTACACGATCCAAGACACGAACACTCCGACAACAATTCAATGCCTTCGTGTCTCATGTTGTGAACGGGCCAAACGACGGAGATGCGTGCCTCTTTACGTTCGGAAAGAACAAGACCCGACTTATCCTCACTTGCCAAGAATAGATTACTTCAAACTCAAGACAACATTCAAAGGAAGCTTCTTGGAGGGCAAGCTAACTTCTCCAACAGCTAGTACACTCCCACCTACCTCATTAATGGCGAAAATTCTGCAGCTTTGCATGAAGACTTGCATTTAAGATTCTAGTTGTTGTAATCCTTCTTTAAAAACCCATGTAGACTCATTTGAAAATACCTTTGATCAATTTGCAATCTAAGTATTATTTTTACAGAATTCTCTCCACTTGTGTCGAGCATTCTAGCTTGGTTTGTCCGAGTTCTTTTCTTGGTTCGTCCGAGATTCAACCTTGGTTCGTCCGAGGAGCAATTTGGTTTGTCCGAATCCAACTTCTATCCTTCGCTCATCTCTCCGTTTCGGGATTAAAGTCGAGCATCAATCTGATCAGAGATTGATCCCGAAATCCGTCCATTCCTTACCTACTCATTCCCCGAACTAGATCGAATTCGAGTGCCTCTTGGGCCGGTGATCGAACCTAGTCCATACTCTCTCCGGAAACAGCCCTTCCGCAAGCCCGTGGCGTATATCATTTTGGTACCAGAGCTTTAACGCTCCAACGGCAATCTAAACCCGGTGATATCTCTCCATATTTACATTTTCGTAATTTCATTTCGTT